AGAGGGTGGCCCCTCGAGGCCGGGGGTGGGGGGGTGGAGGTTCGTCCGCGGAGTCCATGGCAGGAGCAGAGGGTTCCTGGAGGAATGGAATTGCTAAGAACATGTGGGCAGGTGAACAGTGAGCAGCAGCGGAGGGGTCAGTTTTGAGGGCCATGTAAAAGAAGGCCATGATATACATCATTTCTTTCCATTTAGCTGAATGGTGACAAAAGTTAGCTAGCTCCCATAAAATATTGGGGTCGAAAGAGCCATGACAGGGCCATTTAAAATTTCCCTGTAAAGAATATCTTGGCCATGTCTTTGAGCAAAGACGGATGAGTGTAGATAACTTAACAGAAGGAATTAGGGCGTGAGGTTGAAGAGCTTCCAAAATTTGTCCCAGGGGAGAGGACGGGGGAACTGTTTTTGAAGGCTTAGCACCCATGGCTAGAACCGTGAAAATATCCACAAAAGGCACCTAGAAGATGCCACGAACACTGGCAAGGCTCTGGACACCGGCATCCAAGTGACCAGAGGGCAGTGCTAGTAGCCTGGCTGAACCAAAACCAGTCAGTCTGAAAGGCCGCCCGTTGCAGTCAAGGCGCTCATACTGTAATGAGCCCATATGTAAAGAGGACAGAAAAAAGATCAGAAGAAGAGGTGAGAACTGGAAGCTCCGAGCTTCCAGGCGTGGACAAAAACACAGGTCCATTCGAGGGTGGAAGGCCGGGGGGGGGGGGGGGGGGGGGGGAGCCGGGAGCTCAACCGAACGATCTCCGGGTGAGAGGGGACGGTAAGCCAACCCAGGTGAACTCACAAATTAGCCGCTGTAGGTCACAGAAGGCTGCGTTAAGTGGAACACATGGTCGTAGGTTGTCAGTCCTGACCTTGTCCCGGGAGGCCCCGAGCTCCAGGAGGCGCCAAACTCGGAGCCTCGGCCTCAGGTGGAAATACCGGGATGAAAAGGTCCCCCGAGTAGATGGCACCAACTGTTGTTCTTTCTGCGAGGTTGGAGAGAAAACACGAGATGCACGGCGGTCCCACGTGGGTGAACTTTAATTGGGGGGTGATGACAGGTGAGGGACGGGGGTGAAGAGACGAAAGGAAAAAAGGGCGAGTTATGGCGTTCCCTGTTTTTAAGGGGGGATCCAGGTGCATCTGGGAAAATGTCCTGTGCATGCATGGCTTTCCGTCGAACAGGGATTTGTAGTCCAATGTGATGCTGTGTCCTCTACTGCTTCTGGGAATTGTAGTCCAATGATCCTTCTGCGCATGTGCAGCCTTGTCTCCAAGAGGAACAGCAATGATGATGGACCAAACTTCTGAAACTCTAAGTGAGCCATCCCAATTAAATGTTTTCTTTGTAATAGTTGCCTAGGAACACAATTTTAGACTACCCCAAAGAGCATGTTCCAGTGTGACAACAGTTTTAGGCATCTTCATAGTAACATAACAAAGAAAATCATAGATCAAGATACTTTAAAAACGTTTTGGTAGGAACATCAGGTAGATGGATCACATCAAATTGGGGAATTTAATTTACCTAAAAGTCACAAGGATATTAGGCTCACACACAAATGCAGAGAATGAAAGATTTAGGGAATTGATGATAGCCAAGACAATTTAGCTCTGGACCTACAGCATTCGACTCTGCGATCATTGAAGTTTTAGTCACCTAATCAGCCTTATTCACCTCCCAGGAAGTGAGTCTTCCTTGCCTGAAGCCTCACTCCAACCTGATTGAAAGTCCCTGCTTCTGCATCCTGAATTGAAGCAGTATACATGATGTCTCTGAAGTGAGTGTCAAAGCTTCACAGCAGATCAGACAGATACTGAGAACTTTGGGACTGCTGGGGAAGGGTTAAAGAGCTACTCCACTCAAGTTTGTTATTTTAGATGACTTCAAGATGGTCACCATCAATTTAAAGGACAGGAAGGGAGTAGGCAGGTCCTAGAAGTCAATCTAGAAAATTCCAAAACTCTGATTAGATAAGGTAACTACACATGGAGAGGTTGAGTGGCAAACACAGAAAACATCCTTTATGTTTGTGAAGAATTTGTATTGCCAACAGAAACTCATGCCTGGCCTTTGATGAAGCTCTGACGCTAATCCCCAGGGTCATTGCTCTGAATCTGAGGAAACAGGAAGTGGGGAATTGGCCTTGGAGGATAACACAAGAGGCAGAACTTCCTGGATCCAGAACCAGAGTAGAGTAAACAGAAGACAGGGTCACCCACTATCTCCTCTTCTCTTGTACCATGTGGATGAGGACATGAGGTCATGTCCCATGGGGATAATATAGAGAAAGAACCAGGTTCCTGAATGAATACATGGAGAGAGAAATTAATTCCATCTTTACTGAGCCATATTGGATTATAAATTGGCCTCTTTGTGTGTGTGTGTGTGTGTGTGTGTGTGCATGTGTACACATGTATGTGGGTGTTCATGTATGTGTGTGTATATTGGTGCAGGTTGGCATGTGTGCATATGTGTGTGGAGGCCAGAAGTCAACCTTGAGTCTTGTTTGCCAGAGGCTGTCCACTATATTTGGAGACCAAATCTGTTGTTTGCCTGGAGCCCAATCTGGCTGAGCTAGAGGCTGTGTAGGCAGGCCATCGAGCAGAGCCCTCCAGAGCTGTGTGTCTCTACCTCCCAGTGCTGGGGTTATGAGCATGTGCCACTGTACTTCACCAAGTTCCACTCTTTTATGTGGGTCTGGGGATCCAACTCAGATCCTCACACTTGCACAACAAGCTCTTGACTCAACTGAGTCATCTTCCTTGCCCTGGGGCCTTTATATAGTGGCCTAACTAAATAATAAAGGTTTGAGACTGGAACTTTTCCTTCTCCAGTAAGTCTATCCTCCCAAGAGACTTAGAGAAATGACAATGCTCTTGTTCTGATGGTTCAGACTAAAATTTAAAGACTTCCTTGTTTTTGTCATCTATTAAGTGCCCACGATCAAACCCAACATTGCATTTATGATTTAGGCTGGTGTTTCCAAGTCATGGAGTAATCTTTGTTTTGTCTCAAAATTTTAATATCAACTTACTAACAGAATCCTAGGAGCATACTTGTAAGTAAATAAGTTTACTAGTCTACTACTGAAGTTGGGAAGGATGCTCTAGGGGAGTCAAAGGCATCACAGAAAGAACCTGGTTTGGGGAGCTCCCTTAGTCAGTAAGGTATTTTCCCTAAAAGCCTGAGGACCTAAGTTTGGATCCCCAGCGTCCACAGAAGAAGCTAGGTATAATGGTTCCTATCTGTAATCCCAGTACTGGGGAAGCAGAGAGGAGCTCCTGTGGGCCAGTCAGTCTAGTCACATTCCTACGAATTCTTATTCTTACGCTTATGCTCTTGTTCACTGAAAGATTCTACATCAGAAAACAAGGTGGGGAGTGATAGAGGAAGACACCAACCTCTGGTTTTTATATACACACATGCACATGTACATGCACTTGTGCACATACACCCCAAACACATGCATACACACACACATACACAAACAACACAAGGCAATCTTTTAAAATAGAATGAAACAAGGAACCTGCTATAGGATGTGGGAATGTCTTAGGAAGCTCCAGGTTAAGTACAATTGGAGAACAATGACAGCTCAGTGATTAGAGAGCCCAGTGAATCCTACCTGTAAGTGAAGACAGACATCAAGCTAACTCTGTAATTGGTAGAGGAGTAGCTGTCACTCATTTTAGCCAGAGGATAGCCATGTTTGTAGACGGCAAATGATCTTGCCTAGTCTTGCTGTTTTATGAGGTTATTTATGTCCAACAAGACATTGTGGGCCAGCAATGAGCATCAGACCAGCCTGCTGAAATGAAGGCTCTTAGATCTAAAAGCCAGGCCAGCCCCACAATGTCAGCAGCTGCTTTGATCTTTCATATGGGTGGTGCCTGCTTCTGCAGTCACAGGCACTTGTCTTCTTGTTCTATCCCCAGGTAAGGGTGGGGAGCTGTTCACAAAATCACTCCGCCTCAGCCTTTGTTCCTCTGTGGGGTGCACCCTCCTCTGTCATCCCTTCAGGCCCTTGTGACAATTGTCCCCAATCCTGCATGCTTGGTTGCTCTGTGTCTGAGATTTATGATTTCTTCCTTGCTTTGAATACTTTTACTATTTCATGACTCATTTCCACGAAGTGGTGGAAGCAGCAGTTTCAGGGTGAACTCAAGCTGCCATCCAGGCCTGGGTTGTAGTCACTTGCCTCACAGTGGCATTGCCAAGCCATTTCCTGTGATTGACAGAGTCCTGGATTAGAGCTGTTATTTATTTTTCTAAGTATTCTCAAGGACATCGTAGGTTGTGTACAGATTTTTTTGTCTCTTAAATGCCAAGATTAGAAATGAAAAGTTGGACCTGGCATTATATGGATGTAGTTGCAGACACTTAGGATGCTATGGCCAGAGAATGACTTGGACCCAGGAATTTCAGGCCAACCTAGGAAACAGTAAGAGTCCGTCATGGCGTGGGATGGAAGGAGTGGGGGGGGGGTGTCCAACATAATTGGTTGACTTTCTCAATACTGTTTTGCCATATTTTAGCAAAGTACACCAAGAACTTGAATCAGGAGTCATGAGCTTAAATCTTGATCAGGGGTCAGAGCATGCTATGGGGAGGTAAATGACCTTTTTTTCTTTAGTCTTTGTGCCTCTAGTGACCAAACCATTCTCTTTTCCAGAGAGCTTGTCTTGAACAATGCTGAGAAGGTGTAACCTCAGGAGCATGTGTCTCTTCATGCTCTGTTGAAAAAAGAGATGCTATGGATGGAGGAAGTGTGCTCCAAATCTGTGTTCCTATTCTCCTTAAAAGGTCACTAAAATGGTGAACCAACGAACAGGCAGCATTCACTGTGGCTTGAGATTGTTGAAGAGGAGGTAAAATCCTGAAACCCAGGTTAGATTCTGGGACATGAGGAAGGATCTTGTGTATAGGACCCAGCAAGTCCCGTCATTCACTCACTGTCAGTCCTACATTTTCTTGGACACAGAGACATATATGAAACTGCAAGTGTTTTCATTTATTGGACAGGGAAAGGAAAACATTCATGGAGTTGTCATGGGTGTGGCAAAGAGAAACTTAAAGGAAAACCTTTGATTCTAGATGAGTTGTCCTAGGTAATCAGGGAAGATTCTGGGGATGCAGGGATTACACTTTCTGGAGGACAGCGATGGAAATCAGATCACAGAATTTGTCACAGGCTGGTGTGTGCACAGGAAGGGATGATGCTGGAGTCCAGGCGAGGAGTCCCCATTCAACACTGAGTAAGCCAGGAAGAAAGAATACAGAAACTCATTAAGCATTGTTTGAGGTGACTTCAGGACACAGAGCCATTCTATTACATAGAGCAAAGGATGAAGAAACAGACATTTCCCTGCCATCTAACTGATGTTCCTTACCAGAATACTGGGCTGAATGGCATAGAATAAATAACTTTTTCCTTATTGACGACATATGAAAAATAAAAGAAAGTAATGAAAGATATGAGGCTTGTTCCCACTATTTTTGGCATAAGAAACTCTTTTGTGGGATATTTGTACAGTATGTGAACATGTGTCACTGTGATTGGCTTAATAAAGAGATAAATGGCCAATCACAAGGCAGGAGCTTTAGGTGGAACTTCCAGGGAAAGAGAGAGAGAGAGAAAGAGAAAGAGAGAGAGAGAACTCTGGGAAGAAAAAGGAGTGGAGTCACCAGGAGCTGCAAGATGGAAGAGAGGTAAAACTGCATGAATGTAGATTAATAGGAATGGGTTAATTTAAGTTATAAGAGCTAGTTAGAAACAAGCCTAGGCTATAGGTCAAATTTCTATCATTAATAATAAGTCTCTGTGTTATTATTTGGGAGCTGGCTGGTGGAACAGAGAAATGATTCATCATAAAATTCTGAATAATTTTCAGTAAAGTGAAAAATAATGATAAAAGCCTTGGCTACTTTTCAAAGACTTTCACACATTATCAGAGTGAAGTCTTTGACTAAACAGGAAAGAGGAGAGCAAGATGAGAGAACTCAGCTTGCTCTCCAGATTGGAGGAGAAGTGCAGATTTGGCAGGTCCATCCCCAGGTAAGAAGTCAAGGCTGTACAGGGTTCAAAGGAGATGTTATTATAAGGAATGGGAGGGAAGTAGACCACACACACTGATAAGCGTCTATACTCACATGACATTTAATGCATTGCTGAGCCATTTTCACACAACTGCACAAGGTATGCATATATACGGTATGCATCTTTGTTTTCTTGTTTAATTGCTTGGGTCACTCATTTAAAGTCATGGTAAGACTAAATCACACACCCAGATAATTTGAAGCCAAACTTCAAGCTATCCTCAAAGGTGCCTTATTAAATTATTTTTATTGTTATTTTGGGGCACAATACTAATGCTTTTGGAAGGTCCTCATTCCTGCCTACCCTGTCTTCACTCTCACCTGAATATTACCCACCTGGAGGCTCAGGCCTCTCCTCCATTTCGGGCCTGGAGACAGCGATCTGCAGGGTGAGAACAGAACACATTCAGGTATCAGGTACCACTTTATTTCCCCAAGAGAAACTAGATGCTTCTTCAGCTGCAATATCTGGTTGGCAATCCCTTGGGTTTATCATGATATAAAATTCAGGCAGAGAAAAATAAATGAGTCTTGACTTACCAACCCCAGTTAGGTCCAATATATTTTCCTCAATAATTCCATGCTTCTTGCATAGATCCACAAACTTTTCCTTGATGTTTGAACTCAACTCTGGTTTACGGCCTGTGAAAAATAACAGTGACAGTAGTGATTGCATTTTATGTGTTGACCACATTCACTGAGCTGAATGATGGGGCAGCTCCTCCAGAAGGATGAGAAAGAGATCAACAGCATGATTGGCAGTCATGAATATGACCTGTCCTGAATTTGACATCCATAGAATATCTTTCCAGCACACTGAGAGATTTCAGAGTCCTCCCACCACTGAGCCTGAGGGCTGACAGAGGTAAGCATCTTTCTTCAGAATATAAGAAAGAGGCAGTTCAGGGTCAGGCTGGAAAGACCATGTTAGAGTTAGGATTTCTTTCTTCTCTTTTTTTCCCACCCCAAGATCAGTGTCTGTGTGAAAATACTCTACCATAGAGTTCCATCATCTGGAACGTTTCCCCATTGTTGATATTTCTGAGATGAAATATAATATAACCATCATAGTCTGTAGCAAGTACATTAAAGATGTTGTCTCCATCATCTGTGGAAGAAATGGAACACAGCTCAGAAATTCTTTGTTCCACAGGAAATAATGAAAACCTTTTACTTGTTCTACCCCACATAGAAAAGAGTTAAAATGCATATTCTAAAAGGGATGGCCGGAAATGTCTGGTGCTTTCCATCTGTTGCTCTTCGGACTTCATGAAGTTGATATGGGATGTCCTTCTGAATATGTATTGCTTTTATTATTGATGAATAAAGCTTTTTGGACCAATGACTTAGCAGAGTAAAGCCAGGCCGGAAATCAGAACAGAAATAGAGAGAGAGATTAGGCAGAGTCAAGGAGATGCCATGTAGCTGCTGAGGGAGACAGATTCCAGCTAGAACCTTACCCAGTAAGACACAGCCTCATGACAATACACAGATAAAGAAAAATGGGCTGATTCAAGATGGAAGAGTTAGCTAAAAATATGCCTGAGTCATTGGCCAAACAGTGTTGTAATTAATGTAGTTTCTGTGTGATTATTCGGGTCTGAGCGGCCCGGAAACGAATGATCAGCTCCGACTACATGAAGTATCTTTAGGAGAAGGGACAATGGTAGATTGACCTCCCCTGAACAGTTAGCAACAAGCAACTCAGCTTCTTTTTCCCTCTCTGAGGCCTGGCTTCTTCTCTCCACAGCTTCTAGTGACATACCTGCTGCCACATTCTTAGCAACGCGCACTGGTGGCAACTGTTGGCGCAGAATGAGATGACAGGAGACAAGGAGCCGTCTTACCGTACTTGTTCCACCTACCTGTAGCTGGGATGCGAGCTATTAGATGGCCCCTGTTGCATTAGCTAAACAAACAATGATCAGGAGCAGCTGGGATTCTAAAGAGGGTTGTGGGTGTGGTTTAGTAATAGAGAGTTTGCCTAGTATGTACAAGGCCTTGAGTTAAAGCCCCAGCCATGTACATGTGTGTCTCTCTCTCACACACACACACACATATACACACATACACACACATATACACACACATACACACACATACACACACACATACACACACATACACACACATATACACACACACACACACATATACACACACATACACACATATACACACACATACACACACATATACACACACATACACACATATACACACACATACACACACATATACACGCACACACATATATACACACACACGAATAAGATACTAGAGTTTACTAAATTCCTTATGGATAGATATATAGATTTTTTTATGTACTCACATTTGACATAATATTCACCATCCTTTTCTGTTTTGTCAGAAACTAAATACAGCTCGGTGCACTCCCCATTTATCCTGCAAAACAGAGTAAGCTGGTGCTTAAGGAAACTGATATGGCTGGCTTCCTCTGTCTCTGCTCTATCCCTATCTCCAGTTTCTGATTCCAGTTAACTTTTGAATATTATTGTAAAATTAACAAAAGGCCTTCATTGTGTTATTGTACTTATATTTGATACTTTAGTAATCACATATTTGCCTAGTATTTAAATAATGACAATCACTTTGCATCACTGTTCCAACTCTGATGGCTTCCCAGCATCACTGTCCGTTGTGCAGATTGCCAGCCAGATGTCCTCATCTGCATCCATGTGGCAAGTGTTTCGCGATGAGTCCCCACCCAAATCTGCAGGGGAGAAGTTATTCCCTTTTCTGCAGGAAAATTGGAGTTGAAAGGGTGGATTTTCTCAGCTAACAACTAGTGAGAAAAATTTAATTCACTGTCATATACTTTATAGCTGTGCTATACGTCTCAGTAAGTATGGTTTCAGAAATGTCTCTGATCTTTACTCATTCCATTCCCAGTGAATTTATTCCTATCTTGTCTCTGACTTTCGAAAAAAAAAAACCTGGTTATGAAATCTTGATTTAGTGTCGGGTGGAAGACTCTAGTACTGGACACAGGCTCATTGTGTGTACATACTGTGAAAAGCGTAGTTCTATATGTGTGCACATGGACGCTGTGAGGGTATGTTTTTCTCCTTGTGTGTGTATGTGTGTGAGTGTGTGTATATATATGTATATGTATGTATACTATATGTGTGTGTTTGTGTGTGTGTATGTGTACAGGCTTGAGACATGGGAGGCTTCCGTTTTCTCTTTCTCAGCTAAAACACCACACTTACACAGTATGGAAATGAAAAGCTAAGGAAGAATTCTTGAAGACATGGATGTGCTCCACGAAGATTCTCATGCTGCCATGTTCTTCTATTATTTCTCTTTTGTCAGAGGCCAAGCCAACAGAATACCATACTCCCTCAATCTGCAAAAGATAAGCAAATTGTTAAGGGAGGAAGGGCAGGAACACCTCGTGGACATGTTTCTACTGGAACTCTGGCCTATGGGCCAGGACATGAGCACACACATCAGTTGGCACAATTGTTCACATCCTGTGTCTGTCTCCTAGTGGGAGTGAAGGACCCCAAGCATTCTTAGACGTAGTCTAACTTCACCGTCTGAAGCCACTCATTTGTTTGCTTGGTTGAGGAACTGCGCCCCTCCCCTCAAAGGACCACAAAGCATCCTCTGGGTCAAAAAGTCACTATTCCCCATGAACCTACCTTTTCTGGAGTAAAGCTCTTTCTGATGGCACCAGTTTGTCCTTCTGTGTGGACACAGACTAGAGTCAGCTCCAAACCCAGCAGCAGCAGCAGCAGCAGCTTCATTTTGGTAGGAAATAAAATTGTCTCTCTGTCAGAACTGAGTCTTTCCCGATGGTGGCTGCACTTCACTTCCCAGCTCCTTTGTTCTTATACAGTTTCTGAGTTCAATGGGGTTGTTTTTTTAAACTATGGATCTCCTCCACCTTCCCTCAGCCCCTGTGGAATGTTTTCTCTTTTGTTGATGTGAAGCCAAGGATTGCTCCTGCCCTTTTCAAAATTGGCAGTCTCATCTCCTATGGATTGATTTAGTAACCTTAGATTTCTCAAAACATATTCTCAAGAAAAATAGTGGGTGCTCGAGAGAGCTGCCGTTGCTACCTGCTGCCGGATGGAACTCCGAATCTGGCTTGGAGTGTGTGGGGGCGGGGGGGGGCTGAACTGAGAGGTCGAGTGTGTAGAGATCTTTGCTCTAAGACTCGAATGGAGTGTGGAGTAGATGCATTGGTTGTTTTTGAAAATGTATTTATTTTATGTCTATGAATATTTTTTTTGTGTGTGTGTCTGTGTACTACTGCATGTCTGGTGCCTGGTGCCACATGGGAACTCATAACTGACTACAACTTCAGTTAAAGGGGATCCCACACCCTCTTTTGGCCTCTATGGCCTCCTGCGCACATGTGATACATATAAACTCATGCAAGCACATACACATAAAAAAATAAATCTTTTAAAAAATTTTAAAGATTGTCAGGAAAGGTCTTCCTGAGGCTAACTTGACTGCCCCCATGGTCCCCTCAATCTTTGTCCAGAGGACATTGACATCGGAATCTGAACTGCTAAGCTGATAGCCAAGTTGCATCAGCTGTTTTTACCTTAGAGACCTTTGGACATCAATAGACTGGACATAATCCTATCATTAAGGAAAAACAGTTTTTTTTCAAAGTCATATTTGCTGTTGGTGTTTCAAGCAGAAATTATGCCAAGAGTCTGCCTCCAATGACACATAGTTATAACAGAAACTTATTTTGTATTAGTACAAATTTCATTTACTGGAACTAGAAATAAAATCTTGTTTGATGTGCAGATATAAAGAACACAGGAAAGAGACAGGTGTTTAAGCTTTATTTTATGTCAGCCTTGCGCCAGCTCTGTCTGGTGTGTAGCATTTTATTCACTTTACCATAGTATGAATAAGACCCAGAAAGCTTAAGTATAAGGTCCTTCAGCCTGTCAATGGAAGAACTTAGAGTTAAACCCAGGAGCCCCCTGTTCTTATTAACGCCACTACACAGGTCAGTGTGTTTTTAACATGAAGGAAGGATGGTTAACTAGAGAAAGAGGAATAAAGAGTGCGGTAGACCTCCAGACGTGTCTTCCTGGCAGGCACTGCTGAACAAACTGCTCATGTGAAGTGTGGGTGTAGCTCAAGGTGGAGACGAGGGTGACTACAGCTCTCTCCTGCTCTACAAGTATCTGATGGGTGAACATGGAGATGGTTGACTTGGGTTAATGACTTTCTCTTCTCCTTCTCCTCTTCCTTGTTTTGTTCTTTATGTTGTGTGTGCACATGTGTCCCAGTGCACATTCCTGTGCCTGGGCTAGTCTATGCAGAAGTCAGAAGAGGACAGCAGGCATCTCCCTCTTTCACTTCTTCCCCTTGTTGCCTAGAGAGGATCTCTCACTGAATCTGGAGTTTGCTGTTTTTCAGCTGGCTGATTGACCAGCAAGTCCCAGTAATCCTCCAGTCTCCATCATCCAACAAGTGCTGAGGTTAAATATGCATTCTGCCATGATCATCCTTTTAATGTGAGTCCTGAGGGTCTGATCTGACCTTGCTGGAACCCTTATCTCTTACCAGTACCTCACACGTAGGCTGGCCTTGAACTTACAATGTAGCCCTGAATGGCCTAGATTTGTGCCAATCCTCCTGATTCAGCCTCCTGAATACTGAGATTACAGGTTGTAACGCCGTGGCTGTGGATTGTTGCAAGATGCTTCCATAGCAGAAAACAACAGCTATTCCCTTCCATTTAGACTTCAGTTCAGGAACCTTCCTTGTCACTAAGCACGCTAACATTCTTCCTTCATCTGACACATGTAGACTGTTTATGCGACAGAAAAGCTAAGACAGTTGAGAAATGACTAGACAAAGTGTGTGGCCAGGGGTCTAAGCCCATTTTTAACTAGCTAGCATTTCTGAAACTAACTGGCTAATAGGAAATAGATTAACAACCTTGACCTCAGTCTTACTCTTAACTAATTGAACAAATAGCTCATTCAGGAAGCCTGTGGAAACAGTCATGTTATTTACATGATGCCAAGATGTCTTCAGTGCCAAGAAGAATAGCAAGAAACATGAGCTTATTTGATTCAAGTCCCAGGCAGAAATATTCCTTAGTCCCCTAGAAGTCATAGTACATAGTGCTGGCGCTGACTCTGCATCTGACCTTTGTCATGGCTTTGCTCAGTCATTGGGGGGTGCACCCCCAAAGAGAACAGCACCTTAGCTCAGCGGTGAAGGGGATATGAAGCAGTTAACAGCTGACTGCTAGCTGACCACACTCCTCACAACCAAGCTACAAGTATGGCATGGTTAGGTAGGTGGCTAGTGCCAAGGGCAGGGTGGTGGAGTTCACACAGGTCCTGCCCCTAGACACGCTGCCTCTGAGCAACAAGATATCCGGGATGAAGAATCGTTTGTTTTCTGGATTATACCTCCTTGAAAGACTTCTGTGATCCACACTGCTTCCGGAGATCATGCTGGTGCCCATGGCCTGCAATGCCCCGACAGGTTTTGTTGATGTCCATTGTGCTGCCGCCAGGGACCAGGTTGATGTTTATGATAGAGACCTGGTTTTCATATAGAAGAGAATCAATAGGAGACTTTAAGAGAACAACAGGAACGTGGTCAGAAATGTGCTTGCTTTCTTTCTCCTGGAATTAGCTCTTGTAGACCAGGCTGGCCTCGAACTCACAGAGAGCTCTGACTCCTGAGTGCTGGGATTAAAGGTGTGAGCCACCACCGCCCAGCTGACGCGTGCTTTTTAAAGTTCATCTGGTTTAATTCAGATAAGAAATAACAAAAGGAAGTCCCATGATTTAAGAGATAAAGAAGGTGCTAACAGAAGTTCTCAACTGTGGGTAGCGACGCCCACAGAGGGGTGGCATTTGAGATATCCTACATACCAGATATTTATATTACAATTCACAACGGTAGCAAAATTACAGGTGTGAAATAGCAGCAAGCTAATTTTGTGGTTGGCAGTCACCACAACACAGGGTCACAGCATAGGAAGGGTGAGGACCACTGTGCTCGGAGACCCGGAGGGAAACTGCTGCACATTCTGGCAAGACTTTATGTTAGCTTACTTCGAAGATGGCTGGGGTGGGAGAGATTTGGGGGCAAGTGCAAAGAGGCAAGGTCAATCTAACTTTCTGTGCCTTTATGTAGATAAACAGAATTATTGTGGCAAACACCATGACCAAAGCAGCTTGGGGAGGAAACTGTTGTAGTCCGTCATGAAGTCAACTCAAGAACCTGGAGGCAGGAATTAGGCAGAGGCCATGGAGAAACGCTGTTTCCTGGTTTGTTCCCTGTAGATTGTGAGCCCACCTCCTTCTGTCCATCTTTTTCTGTCCACCTTCTTCTGGCAGAACCACCTGCCAGAGTGGCGTTTCCATAGTGAATTGGGCCGTCCTGAATCAATCATTAACCAAGAAAAAGCTCCACAGTGTAACTGAAGGTTTCTCTCCCTCCCTCCAGTTCCTGGGGCTTAATATTAATTAAAAATGGTGTGGCCTATTAGATCAGGCTTAATATTAACTAGGTTTTACAACTCAAATTAACCCATTTCTATTATTTTGCCATGAGGCACTATATTCTATACCAGCAACTGCTGGCATCTTCTAGACTCTGTCTTTCTTTTTCCTTTATCTTTGTTTAAATTTCCCACCTAGCTATATTCTCCCCTGCCATAGGCCAAATCAACTCCTTTATTAACCAATGGTAATAAAACATATTCACAGCATACAAAGGGGGCATCCCACGTCACCACAGGCTTGCCTACAGGCCAATTTTATAGAGACATTTTTCTGACTTGAGGGTCTCTCCAAATAACTCTGGCTTGTGTCAAGATGAAACAAAAACAAAAAACTAACCAGCACAGTTATTAATGAAGATAAAACAAAGAAACAAAAACAAAAAACAAGAAGTCTACATGAGAAACAGAATAAAAATAATCGCTTCAGCCAGTGGTTTGGAACCTGATGTTGGTGTCCCTGATACAACAGAATAAAAATAACCACTTCTGCCAGTGGTTTGAAACCTGATGTTGGTGTCCCTGCACACACGTTGGTGTGCACGTTTTGCACCCCGTTTGCTGATGTAATAGGTGCAGCTGAATGAGAGTTGGTGCTAGAATGCACACGCAAAGGCCCTGGGTCTGAGCCTTTGTGATGTAAGTAAACCATGCTTCTGTCTTTCTTTTCCTCTTCTTTCCTCATTACTCATAATTTTCTATATATTTTGTCATGAATAGTTTTATGAATTATGTTCAGGAATTTCTCCCTTGGAATATCCTGCACATAATTATAAAACTATTCACAACAACACACACACACACACACACATATAATTTTATAGATCAAAAATAAATTGTGTTGGCAGTCCATATGATTCAATTGAATGGTATTGATGTTACTGTTGACTTAAATTCCTTTTTACCTGAAGCATAATTAATGATTTTAACAGAATTTAAAAATATTTTAGCCATGAATGTGAAAATGTAAAACTAAATGCTTGTAGATGTGCTAAAGGGTCTGACAATGCCTCAGCACTTAGGAGTATATCCAGAGATACTTCCAGAGGAGCAGAGCAAAGTGAAATTCCTAACACCCACGTCAAGCAGATCCCAGCACCTGTAACCCCAGCTCCAGGATATCCAAGCCTCTCGGGCCTCTGCATGCACCTGCACCCACTCAGGGCATGCAGACACCTCTCCCTCTCTCTCTCTCTCTCTCTCTCTCTCTCTCTCTCTCTCTCTCTCTCTGTAAAATAAATCTTA